TAGAAAAGGCAGTGAAGAAACTGTCAACCCCTCACCCCTGCAACTTATTAATTTTTGCCCACATATACCAACAAGTTCATCCCTTCCAGGTATATGTGGGTCCACTTTTCCACTTATAGAGAGGGTGCAGGAGGATGTACAGAAGCTATTTTACTGTGTGTAGGTAAACTGTACTTTAATTGCTCCATCACACTTTTGCTTCAGGCCCTACCCGCCTCTGATATGTGGTCCTCAGGCTGTAAAATTCATCCTGCCCCAGCCAGCTTATTTCAAGAGCAAACTGTACTACTTTTCCTGCCAATCTGTTCAACCTGGGAAGCACTGCAACAAATGGGATGTGTGTGTGTGTGTGTTAGGCCTGTCACTCTCCTCCAGTTACCGTAGTCTCCCATGAAAGGCAGCCTCAGGCACTTTGACTGGTGTCCTTGATTCCTTCCATCTACAGGTTTCTGGAGCCTTGCAACCTCTTAAGCAATATCCCCGCTTTTCTAGCTGCAGTCCCTACTGGCTGGGCAAGCAACAAATCTAGCATGAATGAGCAACCAGTCCACAAAACTCCACAAAAGTTAAAATCCCATGAGTTGCTATGGATGTTCAGCATCAGACTAGGGGGAAAAACAAACCTCTTTAAAGATGAGTGCAGTACTCTGTTTCCTTTGGGCAGACACAAGGGTATTTCAACACCTCATTAAAACAGGAGTGTATTTTACATGCTTAACTTAATACACATTTGTTTGTTTTTTAAAAAGCTCCTGTTATTTTTTCCTAAAACCTATTATGCAAGGACAAACTTCACAAGCATTTGACCTGTAACCTGCAGTATTGATATTGGCTCCATTGCATGGCTGTTGTGAACCTCTCTTGCTCTCTCTCAACCTCCCAAACAGCAATATGGGAATAATGTATTATATTTACCCTGGCATTTCATTGGCAGGATTATTTCAAAATGTTTTTTTTTCTCCTGGAATATGACAATAGAGTAGTAAATCCTATCTTTGCTGATACTTTTGCACAGCAGTAGGCATGCTGCTGCCTAGCCACTACTAAGATGTTGGTGTTCTCCACTAATTTCCATGGGTAGCACTCACTTCCATCCTTGGGGAGGTTGAATCGCTTCCAATAAAAACCTGGAAACTCCCCCTCCAGACAGTGAGATGGATCTCTGGTTTCATTTTGTGGAGACTGTGTTCACACTCCCATTTACTGTGCACTCACTGTGGGTTGATCCACACTTCCTCTTGACCCACTGCTTCCCCCCAATCCTGGGGGAAACCGCTCTTAAGCACTCAGTCGGAACAAACATCAATTTCGGTTTTCCTCTTCATGCAGACCTTTGACTTGTTTGAGGTGTGAGTTTGTTTTTGTTGCATTATGTTCCCTGGTGATAACTGGTATTTATTAGCTGCTGTTTCACCTCTGTTTTGCCCTCTTCTGGGTCCAAAATGACCCACAAGTCAATTGAATGCCCGCAAAATGGTCACAGCCTGTACTTGCACACTCATGTGTTCTTGCTTAACCATAGTTTAGCTCGGATTCACATGCAAACTGGACCCTTGTTTGTAAACCAGTTTCGTTCTATTACCTATGAGTGTTCAGTATGCATTTTTCAGGTTTTGCAATTTATTGTTCTAAGAGAACAAATCATATTTAGGAATAACAGTCAGCAACTGCATTGGTCAATGGGCCAGTGTATGGAAACAAAATAAGCAAAAGGCCAAGCCCCTTCCCTTGCTCTTACCAGTGGACACTTTATTTTTATTTTTTAACAACTTATGAACTGCTAGAAGACCTGGGATGTGTGTGCAGGGAAGTAACACACACTCCCACTTTCCCCAGTTTCCCAGCCAGCCATCTTAATTTTACTAATACCTGAATAAGCTTGAATATTGTTTCTTGTCTTAGGGAAGCTCATTGTCACAAGTATGAGAATATGTGCTCATGAGATATTATTTTTCACCAGCTGTAGGACAAAAAGCAACCCTGAGAGAATTCACAGTGTGTAAGTAAATCCTCTGAAACAACAGAAGCATAGAATAATAAATGTAGTAAATTTATACTAATCTGTACTAATCCTCATTATTACAAGAAGGGAGCTGTGTTGTGTTGCCAGAGGGGCAGTTTTTATTTGTTCAAGAAGAAATATCTCAGGCCAACATATTCACTCTATTTAGATATTTGTTAGCAAAAGTGACCAACAGTTTAAAATGTTATCCAGGAAATATTGTGTTCAGATTCCAGTTCTTTGAGGAAGGGAGTGAGAAGAGTGCTGCTTTTGAAAAAAGGCTCTCTGCTTATCTGTACCTACCTGGAGTTACGTCAGTTATATAGTATTCTAACACTTTACTTCAATTTCCTTTGTGACACTTAAAGCTTTTGCTGGATCTTCCAGCCCAGTTTTAACTCTTGGAGCCACAAACAAACAAACAAACAAACAAACACATCTCAATGGATTACATTCCAAATGAGTACAGAGACTCTAAGCATGTTGTTGGTTCAAACTTGTGTGTGTGACATAATGGAAATTTTATCACACCATAAGTACCTTTCTGTGGATTAGCTATTCACGTTTTATGGCTGGGTTTTACATTTTCTTATCTATGTAATCAACTGCTTATAGAGTATAGCATGTTCTCCTTCTATATCACTTAAAATGTGTGACAGAGCAATTGCTTGTTCTGTACAAAGGGTTTATTTTAGTGCAATGAACCTCAAGATGTATGCCGGTTTTACCTTCCCACTATAATGCTATTTACAGGGCTGGCCCACCAAGGAGGCCAGGTGAGATGACTCCCTCAGGCGGCAGGATCCACAGGGCAGCAGATTCTGATGTAGAGCTTTCTCTCTCCGCTCCCTGTTCCCAATGTAGACCTTTACTCTCCCATTCTTCCCTGATAGCACTCTTTTGCAGTTTGCTTCAGGTGCCAAAATGTCTTGGGCCGGCCCTGACTATTTACACACATGACAAGAAGAAAGAACAGGTGTCATCAATTTATTTTCCAATTAAATTGCCTTTCTCACTGCAGTAAATGAAGAATGAGCACCTAAATGCATCTGCAGCAGCTCTTTGGGGCCAACATGGGGAAACCCTGCCAGATGGGCAGGGTATAAATAATAAATTATTATAAATTATTATTATAACATTTGAAGTTCTCACACATCTGGACTTCCGTGGCACACACAGCTACTCAGTTTTTCAGTGTCACATTCCCAGTCTCCCCACGGCAACACTTAACAATTTAGGGCCAAGGCAGGCTGTGCATCTTGCACTGTTGGCTTTCTACTCTTGATACTAGGGTTTCCTGAAAAACAACAGCGAATCCCTGCCCTTTCTACACTGTATTATATATATATAGTGGACTTGTCAGATGATGTGGGCTCCAGTCCACAAAATCTTATGCCATAATAAAATTTGCCCGTCTTTAATCTTCCTGTTGTTTATGTAGCAACAGGCTAATGAGCAGCCCCTGTGGAAATTGTCTCAAGTGTGTGAGCTTCTCCTAGCACTGCTGCTTCTTTGCAGCTGAAGTGAAAGAAAATACAGGGATGCAGTTGGCTTGAAGCGGAGGTGAGGAAGGACAGAAGAATTCAGGTAAGTGTATGGTGGAGAGGAGAGGGATGCGGGTGGCGCTGTGGGTTAAACCACAGAGCCTAGGACTTGCTGATCAGAAGGTCAGCGGTTCGAATCCCCGTGACGGGGTGAGTTCCCGTTGCTCGGTCCCTGCTCCTGCCAACCTAGCAGTTCAAAAGCACGTCAAAGTGCAAGTAGATAAATAGGTACCACTCTGGCGGGGAGGTAAACGGCGTTTCCGTCCACTGCTCTGGTTTGTCAGAAGCGGCTTAGTCATGCTGGCCACATGACCTGGAAGCTGTACGCCGGCTCCCTCGGCCAATAAAGCGAGATGAGCGCCGCAACCCCAGAGTTGGTCACGACTGGACCTGGTCAGGGGTCACCTTTACCTTTATGGAGGAGAGGACTTTTCATGGCACTACTGCCTGAAGCTGCCACGGTGTTGCTTTTGTGCCTGAAAGCTGTGTGTGTGTGTTTTAAATGTGCTGGTAGCACTGCCACCTCACGCCCTGCCTATAGGGTTGAAACACACCGTTGGGTTGTTATTCTTACTATGATCCATCGGCCCATGTCTCCACCTTACAGCTTCTTCTTTCTAAAACACATGTGAAGTACTCTTTTGCCACTTTAGCAGCCACAGAGAATCCTGTGAAATGTAGTTTCCGTGGGTGCTGGGAACTGTAGTTCTCTAAGGTCAGCAGCCTTTAACAAACCGCTGATTCTCCGTGGCTGTTGCAAGTGTCATCAGAGTGCTTTAAGGGTGTGCTGCGGATGTGGCTGGCTGTGACAGGCTATGATAACAACTGCCGAGGACCAGAAGGAAGTGCTATAAACACCTCCAAGTATCCCTAATATATCGCGCCTTTACTTGCCTGCGTGTATTTGTCACTGCAAGCTGCTTTGGGCTGGGAAGCAGGGTTTATATATACAGTAAAAACAAAATAGGCAGCCACTTTCCCAGCCCAGAACCACCTATCCTGCCCAGAGTGTCCTTTGACATACAGTACTTTGCTTTTTTTGCTCCCAGGCTTCCCTAAATCAGCGTTTAAGGCGAGGGAAAGCCCGGGGTTGTTGTTGTTGTTTTTTTCGTTGCACAAAGGTGAGATTCTTGGCGAGGGTTGGACCTCGCCTCCGTCCAGCGCCAGCCTGCAAACCTATAGCCAGGGAAACGCGTGGGTGAGACGGTGTCCCCTTATCGGAGCAAGAACGCACACTTTTGTTAAGCGAGCGCCGCCTGAGGCGATTTAAAACAATAAAAAAGCGCGGGTCCTAACTGGCGCGCGGGGGGGGGGGGACGCAGGCACGAGAGGAGAAAAGTTTTCCTGTGAGTATACTCACAGGGAAGGGGAAAAAACCCCGCACTCTTCCCGCCTGTGGCAGCCGGGAGCAGAGCAAGCAGCGAGGGGAGGAGCCAGAGGAGGGCGCGGGGTGTGAGCCGTGGGCTGGAAAGGCGGTCCGGGGAAGTGCTACGTGTCTCCTCGGCCGCTTTTATACCTACTCCCTTCCCCTCGCAGCTTCTCAGCAGCCCGCGGGAGCCAGCCGCTTGCCTTCCTGCCCGCCACCCCACCCCGTCACTGCTGCCAGGAGCCGAGGGAGCCGCGAAGCCGGCGACATGTCCGACACCAAGAAGCAAAGGATGGTAGGTGCTGCCTCCGCAGTTCTCTCGCGGCGGCGGCGGCAGTAGTAGCAGCAGCAGCAGCAGCAGCGGCATAGTGCCGGCGCCCTGCGGGAGGCGCCTTTTTTTTTTTTTTTTTAGCATCTGCCCCGCCATGCTGCGCTTCTTTTTCTCTCTTCTCGCTGATGGGCGGCTGGCTGCAGCCCCCTTCTCCGCTGGGGCAGAGGCAGCCGCGCCAGGGCGCAGCTGGAAGATGCCATCCTGGTCCGCGCAGCAGCCCTCAGGTCTACCACCAGCGGGGCAGGGGATGTCGTCTCCTTTTACTAGTCCTCTTTGCGTGCCGCCAGAAAGGTGATTTTTGTCAGAGAGACCCTCGTTAGAGGAGGAGGTAGGTTGCGTTAGCATCCTGTGGCTAAGAGTTAAACTGGCACTTTGTGGCTGAGGTGGGTTGGGGCCATAACTGTCAACGTTTCCTCTTTTTTAAGGGAAATTCCCTTATTCCAAATAGGATTCCTCGCAAGAAAGGGGGAAAGTTGACAGCTATGGTTGGGGTGTCTTCCCAAACGCCATGGTTATGGCCATGAGAGCTGAGCAAACTTTTGAGTTTGCTAGGCTGGTGTGTGAGTGTGAGAAGGCATCATGATGCCCGTGTCTTGGCAAATATACTGTTTTTGTTGTAGAGTCGTGGCTGCGTTCAGACACATGGTACCCTTAAAGCACCTTCAAAGCACATTCATGGATGCTTTAGTTGAGATTCCTGCATTGCAGGGGGTTGGACTGTATGACCCTTGGGGTCCCTTCCAACTCTACAATGCTACGATACTATTATTCTTTCACTCAAAGATTTCTGGGCAGTGTAGTCTACCCATCACGGAGTTACAGTGCCCAGAACTCCTTAATAAACTGTGTGTGTGTGTTCTTCAAATGTGTTTTAAAGGCATAGTAGTCATCGTCTTCAGAATTGGCACTTTTAGTGGGGCTTTGTTTCCTAGTATAGGAGCTTTGGGCTGCAAGTCTCAGGGCCAAGTAACCACAGGTGTCCTGGTCTAGGTTTACAGGGGGAGAGTCAAAGACCTTGTGACTATTATTTCTTTAGTGGGGTCCCTGCCTCCAACATCTAAGAGCTGCCTGGTCAGCAAGAAATGAGCGCTTTGTAGCTACTGAGAAGAAATCTTCTCACCTTCTGTGCTGATTGGAGACCGAGTGAAAAGAGGTGAGTCAGCTGCTGAGGATCGGGTCCTAGGGTCACTCTGGTGAAAGCGTTCAGGAAGGGACACAGAGGAATTGCTGTTCCGTATGCTCCAAAGCTAAGCATTTGGGAACACTGAAAACGTGAGCCGCTTCGGTTTCAGGAGAATGGTGTGCAAGTCCTGTTACATACAATGGAACTTCAAGGAAAACATAACCTCTCCTCTCTTGGCACCATGCAGAGGAGATTGGACATGAACCGCAAGCAGCCACCTCTGTCTACTAACCCACCCTCTTTGTCATCCCAGTCCCCATAATAGTGCCGCCTACAGGGAGAGCGCAGGTGGTCAAGTGGCAGGTGGCGGCTCCTTCCCTGACCTTCAGCTGTGCTTCACAGGTAGAGAGTAAGAGAGTGAGCAGATTGGGCTTTGTCTTCTTAGAAGCAGTGGCCATTTCCTCTTTTTTCTCGCTCACTCATTCATCCGGGGGCTTCTTTGGGGCCCAATCATTCCATTGCACAGCCTAAGGAGCAAGGATGTGCAAGCAGTGAGAGGCACTGGGGTAGCCATCCTTTGCCTGATCCTTCCTGTCAAGAGAAGAACAGTCTGAGCAATTATATGGAAATGCAACAGCTGCTCCTGCCTCTTCTCAATCACCCTGTCTCATTGAGTGGTATGTTATGGATTGTTTATACCAAGGATGGGGAGCCTCACACCCATGGCCCCCAAGTGACCCCAAGGTCCCCCTATCTGGCCCCTGGAACTCTCTTCAGGCCACACACCCCATAGTGGTCCCACTTCACACACTAAGTGCTTTTGCTTGGTTGGAATGCATCCTGGAATTTTGATGATGCTTCTTGCTTGCCTACTGTGGCAACTGTGATTATTCAGTGACAGGGCGAAAACACTCTGCGTATGGACAGAGGAAAAAAGTCTCTTTCCATGCATCAAAAGCTTTGAAAATAGATTCTGGATTTGAAGCCTAAATCAGTTCAATACTTGCTTGAAAGTTCATTTCTAGATGAGCATTTTAATATAACAAGTTTTTAACAAGGGGTGCTTAATTAATATTGATTTATTAGCATTTCCTACACCCGTGGGAATTTATGTACCAATTCTATATTGTCTGAAATATATGTTCCATTTAAAAGTGGTTTCCTTCGACATTCTCCCTGGCATTAACAGGAACATACATGTGTGATGAATTATAGATTCAAATACTTTCTTGGCATGACTTGTGAAGGCTGCCTAAGTTGGAAGTGTCTGTTTTGTGGTGCCACAGAATTTGAGGGGGGGTGCTGATGTATTGTGTCAAGATGCTTAGGGCATGACTTCATAGGGCTTTAGCTATGGTGGGGGATGTATTTGAGACATTTACCTGACAGCGTGATTTAGCTGGTTTACCTTTCCTTTCAGTACCCAGCATCATTTTCTTTGCACAGAACCCAAAGTTTAACCTATGTGGTCCCCTGCCCATCAGCATAGTAGACACGAGTGATAACAATATGTTAAGTCATGCTGTGTAGATATACAACTGGTTTTTTTTAAAAGAGGTATGGTTATTAAATTAAGAGCATTTATAACTCTGGATTCATTTCTCTGGATACTAGGATGCGGCAAAAGATACAGATTCCATAAAATTACATTGCACTATTTGCAACTGTGGCAAAGAAAATCCAAGTGAGACACTTGATCCAAACGTCAGGGGTTTGTAAAGGGGACTACTTAATTTGTAAAAGCCAAATCTAAGACTAACCCCAGGACGTTTTAAGATGTACCGTACTTTAAATTTGGTTGCATTTAAAATGGAGTATAATTTATCCACATTTTAAAGGTAAAGGGACCCCTGACCATTAGGTCTAGTCGTGACCAACTCTGGGGTTGCGGTGCTCATCTCGCTTTATTGGCCGAGGGAGCCGGCGTACAGCTTCTGGGTCATGTGGCCAGTATGACTAAGCCGCTTCTGGCGAACCAGAGCAGCGTACGGAAACGCTGTTTACCTTTCCGCCAGAGCGGTACCTATTTATCTACTTGCACTTTGATGTGCTTTCGAACTGCTAGGTTGGCAGGAGCAGGGACCGAGCAACAGGAGCTCACCCCGTCACGGGGATTCGAACTGCAGACCTTCTGATCAGCAAGTCCTAAGCTCTGTGGTTTAACCCACAGCGCCACCTGCATCCCCATCCACATTTTAGGTCTGTGCTAATTAGCATTTTACTGTATTTGCAATGACCTATGCTTACAAGCAATAAATATCAGTTGTTTTGGATTTAAGGATAAAGATCAGCTAAAACCAGGCTACAGTTACTGTAGTTGATTGCTATAGCAAAACACTGAAAAGCAGCGTGGAGAAAGGGGTACTCCGGGGGTGGGGGTGGGGAACCTAACAAACCCCACTAGGGAGATAAGAGTTATTTTGCACAACAAAGTTTGCAAAGTTTCCACAGTGGCTACCTTAACTACTTTGTCAGCCATTTCTTCCAAGGTGCCAGTAGAGTTAGATTGCAGGACACAACTTCTGTATCTGGAAATGTCCTCATTGAGCACAGAATGCTGAAAAGTCCTTTCCCTGCAGTAATTATGGTCCAGAATGCAGTGTTTCTAGAGCAGAGAGAAAGAGGGGCCCAAAGTACGGGAAGCCAGAGGTTGTTTCAGGAGAAGGAATGATATTAGCAAGACACACCTAAGTGGCTCAGGCAAGAAAACCACCTGCAGTGTAAACTGCAAAGCCAGTGTTCTGAAATGCTTAGCAGTTACAACATCATCCTCTGTGCCCGTTAGGAGACTTGCCAGATATTGAGCATATAATCTTGTGGCTGGGCTGGGGTTATATGGTTCTTTCAAGAATGTTAATAAATCAGAAACTGCTGTCAGGGCTCGGGTACAGAGATGTCTAAGTGACAAGGCTGGGGCCCAGATTATAGTCTTATATCCTGTAGCTGTATTATTTACATTATTTCATCAGAGTTACTCGGCTGGTAGCATATATTCTGCTTCAACTGCAATGCATTCTTGAGGAAGTAGCTAAGAGATATAAGATGACAGGAGAGTAGAAACACTGTAAGATCCTCCCTCCCTCCACTATTATCATGGTTTTCTTCATATTGTGATTGCTGCAGCCTAGGAAGCTCTCTAATCTCATTTGCTTCCTTTTTAACGTTCAGCTTCATTGTTTGACAAATTGGCACTCTTGACTTGTGTTTCCTAGGCTGTTTGAAGGTTCTCTCAAAAATCTTATTGTACACAGGACTGAAGTGACAATACAGAAGATGTAACTCTTTATTGCTCTAATTTCTTTTGGGTGAGCAGTGATGGGAAAATATTTGAAATTGTTTAGGGGCGGGGGGGGGGGAGCAACAACAAAGGACAGCACCAAACAGTAATGTGGCCCTGAATGTTGTCCCTGAATGTGTTCAGAAATGTAATTGAATGAATAAATACTCTCTCTTTATACCTGCTTGAAGTTTGCTTCTTTTCTTTGTCTTTTTGAATCATGTTTGTAGGACCCAGACTTATAGAAGGCCTGAATAAAGATGTCATATATGCCCAGGAAACAACATAATATTTTCATGTGCCTGGGATTTTTGCAGTGCCCAAATCAGCGTGTGTACACTTTCAGACTTCACATAGCTGTTTACAAGAGAAGAGAACTATGAAGCGTGAAAGCTTGTAGCACTGTTGCCAACATAGGTTGGGTGGGTCTTATAAACCATGATTACTTTTGTCTCTAGCTGATTGTCATCTTTCAGTATATGAAAACAAAAGAAAGAAGAAAGAAGCCCATTTCTCCCTAGTTGGATGTTACACTTACATAACTATTTGTTATTTTTTTAGAAC